ACTCTTCGTGCACACCAAAGGTTATGTTAATGCAGAGAAAGGGGGAAAAGCTATTTCCGGAAGTATGATTCACCATCTGACATTCCATATTAGGAAGAAGAGTTGTTTATTTAGTTTCGGCTTTGGTATGGGAAAAAATAGCGCGTTCATTAAAAAAAAAAAAAAAAAAAAGCACTAAAAGCAAAAAATAAGCACTAAAAACAAAAAAATTAGGGCTTTAAAGAAAAAGTAAGCACCTATAAGGGTCTTTATATTTTAGTTTCAAATATAAGGACTTATAAGCACCGCTACGAACCCTGTATATTTGCTTCGATTCTTTATGTTTTCAATAAAAGCGAAAATCTTACGCATGGTATACATATAACGCATAGCTTCAAATTAAAATTTAATAAAATACAGGGTAATTATAATTAAAGTTCCACTTTGAAACGGTGATAAAAGGAAAACTACTGGATCAAATGTTATCAAACTTGGTAACCGAAGGAGGTCATAGGAATTTATTTTCTGCGAAAAAAAGTAAGTTCGAAACCTCACCACCAGGGGGGGGGAAAGGTGCTGTATGCAATATTGTTAAATGAAATATGGGTCGGAATCTAACTTAACCTTTTGTTACACAGGTTTAATATGTTGTATACCCTTAAGAAACTTTGAAGTAAGCAAATTACCATTTAAAGGCATTAAATTTGATAAAAGTTGAGTGCGCGATCAGTGTAAGGGAGAAATTCGTCCGTGAAAACCATGAATTAGCGATTAGAAATGTGAGATCGCAAATCACTCGCACAAGTGCGTACAATCTGGAAATCGTTTTCTGACAGATCGCTAATTTGTAATTTTTGAAGCCTGAATTCGGCACTAAAACATGAAGATACTGATTCAAAATGCTTTTAATCGATTTGGGCCAAAGAAATCCCTCATGTTATCTACCTAGTTCCATTGCATTCTCCTACTGCATTCGATTGCATAGCAGTCATTCCACACTGTTTGGTGTGTGGTGTGGTGTCAGTTATGAAACACACCGTTTTTTGCATTTCATAACTGACACCGTTTGATTCAGTTATGAAACTAGCTGTCCAGTCGACAGCTGGACCACTGTGATTGCAGTTCGCTTAGAGTCAATGTTAAAATGTTTGTGATACATGAACTGCAGTAACTTGGCATTTTAGATACTACGATTTTTATGCAGGGCTGGGCCCCACCTCATTTGTGTCGCACAATTACTTAGGCAACATTTCATGAATGAATGTCTTATAGGCAGACACTTCCCTTCCACACTTGACCTACCTCTGTGACTTTAGGCTATGAGGTTACCTCAAAAGCACTGTTTATGGTGATAATCTAAACAATTTGGCAGAAATGAAAAATGTGATACACCGACATGTCCATAACATTCCTCTTGATATGTTAAGAGCTGCTGTTGAGAATGCAGTAACAGGATTTAACTTGCTTTCGGAAAATGCTGGACGCTGCATTGAACATAATCTGTAACATGTTTCGGAAACGATAAACACATTTTAAACAGATGTTTTCTTGTCTTATTTTATCTAACAGTATTGCATACAGTGCCATTTTTCCCCTGGTGGTGAGTTTTTTAACTTTTTTTCCCCGCGGAAAATAAATTCCTATAGCCTCCTTTACACAATTCCCAAGTTGATAACATTTGGTCCGGTAGTTTTCCTTTTATGACCATTTCAAAGTGGAACTTTAATTATAACCACCATGTAAATTAAACTTTTAAAAGTTTGACAGTTTGGTTCAAGTCCCAGCTTTAAAAATATATATATAAATATAATCTTTTATATTAATCCTCTTAGAAAGAATGTTTTAAGAAGCTAATTTTTCTCTCGCGTTATAGATTGTATAAAAAAACATGATCTTTAATATGATTTAGATTGTTTCAGCCGATATAAGAATCGGGTCACTCGGTGGTACAGAATAAACCCTGCTGGACTGTTTTATTTCTTTGTCATTTAGCAAAAATCTTTTAATTAAAATATTTATCCTTTGGACTTCGCTTTAAACTTTATTTATAGTTAAAATGACTAGAAAATGAAAAGCTGTCTTCAGCTGAAACGCAAGTCATGTAATTGATATTTAAAAAAAATTGACAAGAATGCAAAATTTATGGAAGTCTAGCAATCGAAAAATCTTAATTTTCTTGTGTGAGCAGTGAAAATAACTATAGAAGGAAAGAAGAAAATTAGGGAGAAAAGTACTAAAAAATTTGCAGTAAAAGTTGGCTGTCAGACATACCAAGATGTTTAAAAAAGTTGGACGCTTTTGAATATACTTTCAGGATACTTCAAAGAACTTAGGTGTTCAAAGAGAAAACACTTGGACGTATACACCAGCAAATACCATCAATTGAGCTTGTGTTAAAAGAAAAGACAAAAACAATACCATTGCAGATTAAAGTGAAGAGCAACTGGTTTTAGACTATATAGTTGTATAAATTTAAATTACATTATAGAACATCATATCATATCATAAACAGAGAATCCCGTGATTTCTCAGTTGAATTATTTGAATATTCAAGAGTTTATCCAGTGATGTACGTGGATGTCACCTAAAACGCATTCCCCCCCCCTGATGAAACAGCGGCCGAGCGGTAAAGTCGCTGAACACTGGTAGTTCGGTCCGAGGTTCGAATCCCGCGAACGGGCTGGCTGCATGGGCGTTTTCGTGGTTTTCCCCATGTGTAACGTGTATACGAGCCAGTTTCCCTTAGAAAGTCCTCCACGAAGGCATCCCTCCCCTTAGGCAGATAGCCCTAGTGTGTTTTGTCATAATTAAATAAACCAAAACCTCTTGATGAAACCAGTCTTTCCTTTCATCTCATACCTTCAAAATGCTTAGCCTCTGAAGACTGATAAAGGCTCTGACCAAATACTGATGAAATGGATTGAACTGGTTTATTAAGTTATGGCAAAGCAGGGCTTATGTGAAGAACTTTCTAAGGGAAACCAGCTGGCATACACATTATACATGAGAAAATCCATGAAAACGCCCATACAACCAGCCCGTTTACCAGGATTTGAACCCCGGAGTGAACTACCAGTGTTCAGCGACTTTCCCGCTCGGCCGTTTGTGGGCCTTTATGAAATGGAAGGCGATAACTTTATTTAAAATGATTGTCAGAAATACCAAGATGTTTAAAAAAGTTGGATGCTTTTTTATATACTTGCAGAATGCCTAAAGAAAATGAGCAAGAATGAAGCAGAATGCCTGAAGAAAAAATAAAATTTTGCATAAAATTTAGTATTTGTATTTTTTTTTAAATTTAAAACTTTTTAATCTTATGATATTTGATTCTTGCGATTTCAAAAATAAAATATTTGACTAAAATATGAATAACATTTTAAGAAACCAAATGTAGGATAAAATTGTGTAAAGCAATGGGCACAATGATAAAACTGTTTAAAGCAGTGTATGCAAGTCATCCTAAGTTAAAATGTCGGTTATACATCTCTCTTATTTATATATATCTTTTCTGAACGGAACATTGAAAGGCGTGTTAACTGTGCTTTACTGTATTTCTCTTTTAATATATGCAGTTTTCAAACGCATCGTAGTCTGGGTTACAAAGTATTCTTCCGAAAGAAACGCAATTCAAATAAATAAAATCAAATTCTGGAAAATTTATATTAATAAATATATTTAAAATGCTCAGTTCGAAGGAATAAATAGAAAATTTTAAAAATAATTATCTGAAGAGACAATGCAACACAAACAATTAAAATAAAAGTCTAAAAATTTAAAAATTACCTAAAATAGTAACTATGACTAAAAATATAGTATAAAGAAAACTATTTGAAAAAAAAATAAATAAATAAATAAACAATGCACCTTTGATTTAAACTACGCAGTTCGAATGAGTAAATATAAATTTTTAAAACAGTTATTCGAAAGAAATTATGCAACGTAAACAATTAAAATGAATTTTGGAAAAGAAAAAAATTGCTTAAAATTATGGCGCAAACTGAATAAAAAGCGGCAACATAAATTGTTGAATTTCTCCGTAAATTTTGCAGCAAATTTTACAAAATTTAATATTTAGGCATAATTTGAGTCGTAGAATTGAAATATGGAAAAAAAATTGGTATGTTATTTCAGAAAAAGTCCGATTTCGTTTCAAAATAACTATGTTAGAGTAGAGCTATATATAAATCTTATATATATCCTAAGTTGCGCTTTCGAGACATGAAGAACGCAATTTGAATTTTGTCATCGGTCCAGTAGAAGGGGAGATATAGAACTGTCCCATTTTTTTTTTTTTTTTAGCAGTGTACATGTAATTCTCAAGGTACATACAGTACTACTGTGGTTCTTGGAATCTTATAACCTTGCCTTATGCATCTTCATACCAGATTAGTTCTGATGTTATATGTTATTCAGTGTGATTGGATACAAGTCCTACTCGCATAGGGTAGGAAAATCATGCTTTCTTATCAGTTAATATTTCATTACAGAAGTGTCAAGGCCTGTGGTTATTGCTTATCTTCAGGAGAAATCCAGAATCATGAACTTAATTGTGTTACATACTGTCCTTGCTAATACGACAATTTTAATGGACAGCAGTGTATTAAGAGTCTATACAGATACCCAGCAAAATGAACAATCAAAGAAGTTTGAAAATTTCCTCTGCCTCTTCTGTCAGTTATATTCTTAATAATTCTTAACAAGACAGTTCCATACTATATGTCCTTATCTGTCATTTAAACAGAAGGAGGAACCTCTACTAGCTGCTCCATCAATCAATCCTAAGAAATATTTTTTCTTAATTTATTTTATAGCATTTGCTTTCATATAATTTTCAAGTCTGTTGATTGAACCTTTGAGATATTTACTGTAACTGATTTGTGATATAAAAAGAATAACCTAAAAATTCTTTAAAAAACAGACTAAATAAATGAATAAATAAAAGTAAAAACTAATTAAAACAATGTTTTAAGAGACATTATAAATATATTTTGACACATATGGAGCAATGAAATAATCCATACCCAAATTTTCGTAACTGGTACCAATTTGAAACATTGGGTGTCTTCCTCCCGGTGTCACCCGGAAACAGAGAATTTAAAAATGAATCCAATTTCATCAAGTCACTAAAAAAAAGAAATAAAAATTACAAGTATAACAAATATATCATTGTCATATACAAACATATAATTTTAAAATACTTACCCAACTAATTCTGATGACGTTACTTGAGGAGTAATTGATTTGACACACACAGTTACAATGTGCAGATGAAAAAGATAAAAAAATTCTAAAGAAATCTTTGCTTCTGGAAAAGAAATTATTTTCTGGTTAACTTTTGATCATGTAAAATAATAAAACAAAGTACAATTTCTTTTCAAACTAATCACTGGATGAAAAGAATAATTCTAGATTAGATATTGTAAACAAAGATAAAACAGAACATTCACACTCATTATAATTAATATTTAAAACGAATTTTCACAGCTGGAACAAGATATATCCCAAAATTAGTTTTACAAATAGTTAATTTATCATACCTTCACTTTCAACTGTAAGGTAGACAGACATAGGATGTTTTTTTAATATGTCTTTCCGGGTATCTTCTTTTCTAGAAGAAACTGAATGCCTATGCATATTCTGTAAAATAAAAATAAAAATAAAAATAACTTCAGTTATTGTTTATTAAAGTTTCATATTTTTTTCACACTTACATGTACATACAAATGAAACTTTTGACATATTCTGTAGAAAATGAAGAGTAGCGTCTTGCATGTGAATATGCTAATCCTTTTCTTTGTCACCATTACTCATATTTGACAATTTTGTTACAATAAAAATCAGAACTTTTTAGGGGGAGACGGAAATGAGCATAAAGTAAATTTTACACACATTTGAATATTTTGAAACCATCATACATAGAAAACATTTACCTTAAGAAATGGAAAATCAGATAAATGGAATTAATTTTTAAATAATTACTAAACTTTTAATTTGAAAATTGTGTTTTATAATATTGTTTAAGTTTAAGAAATGAAATATTAAAAAGCTGGGAAAACTGTGATGAAATTTATAAACTTCTACATTAATTTTTTTTTAAACAAATTTGTGTTTAAATGGCCAAAATGTTGATAAGTTGTTAAGCAACGTATTGGGTGGGGGAACACTATATTCCAAAATGGATAGACCTTTGGATGAACTACAGAAAGTGAATTTAGAAATAAATAAATAAAAAATAAAAAATATATAATAATAAATACAGAAGTCAGCCAATAATACACATTTTAAATACAAATTCGCCTGCACATCATTAAAATTCTTAACACTTAAAAAAAGTTTATAAAAAATGAATTTCATACATAATATCACACAATTTTAGTATGGTTTTGTAAATTTAAGTAATTATGAGAAATTCATAACAGCTGGAAGATATGACTATTTGAATGCAGACAAATCCATCTAAATAAAATGAGAAATTTTCATGTATAAACCAAGTAGAAACATATAATATGCAAATCACATTAATATTCAAGAAATACAATAAACAGCAATAATTCTTTTGCTGTTCAAGAGAGACAAAGGTGCTGATAGCAGATTCATTAAAAACACTTTGTATCTCTATCTGATAAACTACAACAGAAAATAACACTAAGGCAAGTAACACATGTGGCAAGTACACTAAGATCAGTCTCTGGTAGATAAATTAACAGAACATGACTACATAAATGGACACACATAAGATTCAGAAACTAAAGATTTTATTTTTGAGTCAAATACCAATAAAAATCCACATTAATAAATAGAAAAGGATAAAACTAAAACACAAGTAACCTCTCTATAAAAAGCTTTCAAATAGCAGAAGCAACTGAAATAACTTGAGTGTGCTGAACACAAGAAATCCAGTTATTCTTAAGAATGTTAAAAGTAAGTTTATGACAGTTACTTCAACAATAAGATTTATTTGAACAACATTGTTTCAGGGCTGCCACTCAAACAGGAGAAGTAAATTCCCTGACTTTTCCAGGTATGTTTCGAGAAAATTCCAGTCTATTCGCGTAATGTACGTTGGCTGTGCTAAGAGGTAAATTAATTATGGTATTACTTGTATTGTGTAGCAAATTCACTTAATTATTCAATAAATCCCAGAGGACATTTATTCTTAATTATTCTTGGTGCACTTTGTTTGATAATTTTGTTTACTTTTCCACTTAAGAAACTTAATAAAATTTAAGATATATACGTTGGATAACAATTGTACATTTTATTTAATTATTACTCATGATCATCACCAGTTCAACATGAGGCTAATCCGGTTCTTATAAATCACAACGCAATGCTAAAAGTTAGGTTAGATTTTAGGTAAATTTAATTTGTGTGAGGTGTCTTCTTAAAAGGCACCTTAACACTTGAAAACACAAATATAATTATAATAGGAGTTGTTTTCTCCACTGAAGATTAAGATTAGAATCTTCCCAATCTGGAATAAAATAAGGCTTTTTTTGCAGACATTCTGCAGCTAAATGAAAGAAAGAAATCTATTTAATGACATTTTTTTACTAAATTGAGGTATTTTATATTTATTTCGCAGCATACATAAGGAAAAAATATGTGCATTAAATTTCGTGATGTCATCATACTGCTAGAATTAATTTCAGGATTACGCCAGAGAAAATTTCCTGAAATTTGGAAATATTATTTACTAATGATAAATAAATTTAGAGGGAAGAAGCAACATTAAATGATATGAATAACATAAAAATAGAGATAATTACTTAAAAATTGAATTAGAATAATCAACGATATTTTAGCGAATATAGTTATATTACATGGTTAGCCTAGATGACTGATTACTATTTTTTTTATTTTACTGCAAAATGACAAGGTATTTATTAAAAAGAAAAGAAAAAAAAATTTTTGCAGTAAAATCCTAGTATACGGTACGGCTTTTACACGATTTTGAAAATTGTCGCCAAGAACAAAATGACTCGTTTACTGCTCATTATCATGTCGCCAAATCCCGCTTTACCATACATGGAGATTATTTTAAACAAAGAACGTCTATGTAAAGAAGAAAAGGTTCCATACACGTAAATTCTATTATGCGGCTAGAAAGCGGAGGGAAAATTTGCCAAGGGATTTGGCGACGGAACCTGGCGGCCAGAATTTCCCTCTCCGCGATGTGTACAGGAAATTGAGAAACACGTGCTAAGAAGAAACGTTCTTTGACAAAAAAGAAAACTACGAAAATCCGTTTTTAAATTATTGCAAAAAATCCAAGGAGAAACGTTTTATCAAAGAACGTTTTTTCTTGGATTTTTCGCAATAATTTTAAAAACGGATTTTTGTAGTTTTTTTTTCTTCCCTGAAAATAACTAATCCATGAATTAATTTACTTGCGCCAAAAAAATATTTTCTTTTCCTTTCGAGTTTAATGAAATTTTAAACGATATTCATTTTATGAATTCTTGATAACGTGACCTTCGAACTTCGACACCGGTTTCGAGCTTTGGCGACAGATATGCCGCGCATGCACAGCTGTTTCCCTCCATGATGGAACGGAGCCACGTCTGTTGCAGAGAGGTTTTCTTTCTTTACAATACATATTTTTTTATTCTAACCTTCATGGTACCGTATACTAGGATTAAACCCATTTTGTTTTATACGAAAACAGGTACTTTCTTTAGTTCATGCACTGCATATGCGATTCTCGAGGTTACTGGAAACCAAAAGTTGCGGGAAACTTGATTTGCCTTTCTAAAAGACAATCAAAATTGGAGCTGCGAAAAATGGCTCTATGCCAGCTGCCCGAATGACACTCACGTGATACACAATTCGCCAAAAAAGTGATCTCTTCCGACGTCGGCGCAAAACTCGCCTTTTTTGGCGGGATCGTTGTATGAAATTCCTCAACTTTTCCAGATTTTGACTAAAACACTTAAATTCCCTGACTTTTCCCCAAATTTTTGGTCAATTTCCGAATTCCCCGACTTTTTCCGGTTTTCCAGGTAGCGTGGCAACCCTGTTGTTTTCTGTGTTTTGGGGTGAGCACCTTACTTATGTTTTTTTTTATTTCCTTGAACAAGTGAGGCATTCAGTGAGGAATAGGATCTTCAGTGACTGTCTTACACAGTGCGATGTTATCTAAAACAAGAAAATTATTTTGTCACAGCTATTTGAGATCTTCTCTGGTAATAGATATTCATTGCCAACTGATAGAATGGAAAATAATGTGAAAAGCAAAGCAACATGTGTGAAACAGTATGCAGAATCTCAAATTGGACAATCAATAACCTGTAATAGCTACACAAAGGCGAACAAATGAAAGCAAATTAAACACATTTCAGTCTCTTGTAGTGTTGGAGAACAGATGAACTAGTCTTTAAATAATTAAAGCATGAATTCCATCCGTAATGAAGAACATTAAAAATGACTATAGCAGTGTTTCTTCAACTTTTTTTTTTACTCACAACTCCTTTTTATTACCGAGATTTTTTTCGCGACTCCCCCCAGGACCCCATAATATTTAAAAAAATTTTGTGGGACCCCATAAGTATTGTGCAAATCTGATACATGCCTGAGTGAAGCCGTCAGTTTTTTCACTTAAACTGTAATATACTATTGCAGTTTTAGGTCATTAACTTTAATTTCTAATTTTAAGACATAGAACAATGTAAAAATTTTAAATAAGTAACAGATGAAATGACAGCATCATTTGCAAAGCAAGGAAAATGAACGTTTAGATTATAAAAAGAATGCGTCGAAATGTTTTTGTTTTCTTCTTTGTCTGTACTGTCTTATCGTTATCTATTTTCAGATACATTGTCTAAAAATATTTGGTAATTGTAAAATTATAAGTTAAAGAAATATCAAAACTGTTAAATTTTTTGGCGACCCCTTGCTGCAGGTCCCTCGACCCCCTGGGGGGTTGCGAACCACAGAAACCCTGGACTACGGTTTAATGAGGTACATATATAATATACTTCACAAAGTATAAAGAAATGCAGCGTTTGCAATAATGTCCTGTTTCACAGCCACGACTTTTCTAGAACATATTGTCAACAATAATGAAACATGACTTTTATTATAAAATACTGGCAAAGAAGCAACCAAGCTTCTCCAGACCCTGAGACTGAAATTCTTGCTATTTTTTTGCCAAGTTATGGCTATCATCTTTTGAGAACAAGGCTTGTTGCTGGTTATACTTTAGATATAAAAGAAAGCAACAATCAGTGCAACAATGTATGGAGCAACTTTAGAAACTCTATCATTAGAAACAACCATTATAGGTTATTTACAAAAAATGTGGATCATTCCCACACAATGACATTCATTTACACAGGACTATTGAGAACTATGATAAAGTTATAGGAGACTATTGAGCTTCTGCCAAATAAGACACTATTTTTATCTCAACCAAATTCTCAACAATACTGGTGGTTGTAGATGTTTAAGAGATAAAGTGTTGTGATACAGAGCCTGAACATGGACTCCACATATTATGAGATGGGTATTAAAAATTTTGCCTACACAGAGACAAATTCCTCGCTCATTATGATAATAATTTGGATGAATAAGAATTATATCATTGAATACAATATACAGTGTGTTTTTTCCAAAAATATATAAAGTATAGAGAGTATACTTTGAGTACACAGAGAACTTTTAGTCGGGATAAACTAACCAATTTAATTTTTGATTTGTAGCATTGGCTTATACCTCTGCGCAGTCCAGAGAATTATTTTGATTGGCAAGTGATTTAATATACAGTCGTGTGAATAAATTTGTAAACAGATGAATTGTTATATAGTTATGAAAGATGCAAATGGGGGGGGATTATTTCAAAGAAACACGAATCTGGTGTAAAGACTTTATGTTTATCTGGTGTAAAGTCGGACTTTGCCTTCAACCCTGTTTCGAACTCCATCATGTTAAACTACATTTCTAAGGTATTTTTCGCTCAGTGCATTATATTTAAAGTTTCATAGATTTTACTTTTTTATATTTTGTAATAAATAGAAATTAACTGTAATTCAATTGAAATTTATTAATTTTTTTGTGATAACATCTGAAATGGGTTTTTCTGACAGCTTAGTTTCTCATGATAAAAATATATATAAAAATCTTTTCTAGAAAGAAAAAAATGCATATTTCAATTCTCCAATATATATTAATTAAATTTTTTTAAAATCGATTTTAATCTATTCCACAAATTGAGTAGTCAGAGGGTTAAGAGGGATGTTACTGAATCACTGCTTGAAAAAATGGGCTATAACCCCCCCCCCACAGTTAAAAAACTGTGGGTTACCTTACAGATTTCAGGAACAGGAGTTGCTGTTTCTTTCTGCTTAAAAAGAGGGCAGTACGGAAAAAAAAAAAAAAAGTTTGGGAATCCATGGTTTAGGGATACAGTCAAGCCAAATGTAATTTTTGGTAGCACGGAAACAGTATTGCAATTTTTGGATGAGTTAGAATTGCATTTTGTACTGTAAGAGGTAATGAAAGGTCAGAAAATACAATTTAGTGTTGTTAAATTATGTATTGGGGATATAAAAAATTCATGAGGAACAGTCTCTACTGCCAAAGACTCATAAGAAAAATGTTGCTTGTTTTCAGGATAGCTTTGAAACACCTGGAGTATAATCAAGTCATCACTCAATACTTATATGTTATATAATGTGGATTAGGTGTAGTTGTATGTGATAACACAATATATGCACATGGTATATTCATGTAAAATATGCCCCATCATGGACTTCATAAGGGGGAAAAGAATCAATCTACATAGTGGTTGAATTTTATATATGGCTCCACATCATTTATGTACCTGGCCCAGATCACCTTCCAGGCATTCAAAACCAATAAACAAAATAACTATGTTGCAAACATAAAGGCAAAAGTATTAAAAAAAAAAAAAAAAAAAAAAAAAAAAAAACTAGGAAAAACACACATTCATGCACATCCAAAAGGGGAAGCTAATTATTAGCATTTAAATACCAAGGGACTATAAAATAAAATAAAAAAATTACAACCAACCATTTCAGATGTATCTTCTTGATCAGATTCCCCACTTTCTTCCGCTGAAAAATACACATTTAGGTTTATATTACAGGCAAAAAAAAACAATAACTACATTATATAACTATATATAAATAAATATATTAAAACAAAGTAAGTTCAAATCATAATCATATCGGAATTAAGAAATTTATTTTGAAAATGCAAGAAACTATTGTAAAAAAAAATAAACACAACCTGTTTCGAAATCCTCAGAAAAATCAATGTGTAAAAAAAAAAATTGTACAAAATTACCCTTTTAAATATACATATTTTTTTAAAGCTTTACATTTCCAGTTATATCTTCTACATGGTTTTTGTGTGGTGAGAGAAGTAAAAGATAAAGCCTGTTTCTGAACTGGCTACTGCACAAACATATAATTAAGCAATACAACATGTTTCATATTCAACAATATTAAACTGTGCATTCATCAATTTAATGTCCTGCAGGCACACAGCTTGCCCAAATCTAACAGAAAATGTAATGGAAGTGATACAATAACTTGAAAATCAGTACAAAGAACATTATAATAAATTTTTATGGAATGGGTTATTTATATATATATATATATATAGGAAGGAATGTAAAATAATTTAATATATAAATGCTGTAATTTGTAGCAAATCAAGCATTTTTCCTACATGTAATCTATTTATAAATCAATTAACAAAACTTTAAGCTAAAACAAATTTTACTTATTTATTTTTAACATTTTATTATCATGATCTACAATTAAACCATACTTACACAGATCCTCAGTTTTCATTTGAAGAACTTTAGCTTCATCAGTATTGCCTTCAACTGCAATCTCTATTTTCTTATCTAATACAAAGAGATTTACTACCTTAAATTATTTTCAAAATGTTTAAGTTTTTCTTGCCTGTGATAAGAACTATTAAGCAATATACATACCACAGACTTCTTTATATGCACATGCTTCAACATACAATATATACAATGGTGTAGGAAGAAACTTTGCTATCTGATGTTTTAAATGTGAAGCTTGAAATTGCATTCCAAGCTTGCTCTCGAGTGGTTCTGCAGTCTAGAAAACAATAAAATTAATCAATCAATCCTCTTTTAATATGCTTTTGCCAGCTACATTAAAAGCACTACAAGCCAGTAACTTGGTCATTTACATAAACATTTTTGTCACACAAAACCATATAATTATACATGATAATTTGGTAATTAGAAGTTATCTCTAAGTAATACTGTAAGTGTCCAGATTACAATAACATACAAAGTACCTCAAAAGTCACAAGACATTTTAAAAATGCATAAAAAATTAATAAGTTGTTACAAAAGAACACAGTTTGCCTGTGCATTTAAGCCCAAATTTGGGTGTTTGGGGAGGGAAAACTTCCAAGACAAAGCTGGATTGTCATCTTATCCCTTAAATGACATTTAATAAAAGAAAGCTTGCGTAAATGCCATGCAGTTGCTTCATTATATGACATTTCACAGAATCGACTACTCAATGTATACTCTCTCACACTAATTTATATTCTGTAAGCATCACAAAGTCCATAAAATTGGAATTCGTTTTTGACCTATACTTTCCAACTTAGGAATGTCATCATATCCTTTGGCAAAATATTTAGTTTTCAGATTTGATCCTTTAGTTTCTCGCAATATTCACACTCTAAAAATTCTTTTGAAATCATCGATAAACTCAAAGATTTTTCTCCCCTGCATTCCATTATGATTTCTTTTGAGGTGGTTAAATCACAGTTTAGTATTGTTCCAGTCGAAGAAGCACCAAAATATCTTTCAACTAGGCTTTGAGAATTTCATTTCACACATACTGAAATTGAACAGTTTATTCCTGTTACTAAAGCCTCTTTGAGTGAGACCTGCTTTTTTTTCCAGAATGCATATTATCGCCAAATCGAAGGATTAGCTATGAGTATTCCTCTCAGTCCTCTACTTACTGACATTTATATGCATTATTATTTGAGAAATGAAACTAGGCTTTGAAAATTCCATTTTGCACATACTGAAATTGAAGAGATCATTCCTATTACTAAAGTCTCTTTGGACAATATCGTTGCCTTCCTTTATATACTTATAGTTCACAATGAATCTGATTTCAGCACTAATATTAACCGTAAACCCTTTTCTCTGCCACTCATGCTAAGCCATGGAACCTGGCTAAGCAAAAAATGGCTTTCCCCCCTTATTATTATGTACTTTTGTGCTCTCAAAGTTTGTTTCTCAGATTTTTTTGCTTGCTAACGAACTCACAGAATCTTTGATTGCTAACAAACTCAATTATTTGAGATCAATTGCTGTTGATAAGGATTTTCTCCCAAGGTTATTGATAAAGGCATTTGAAAATTTTTCAGCTTCCCATCAAATAAGATATTCCGCTGTTAGAAATAACATTAATAACCTTGCTGTGCTTTCATTTCATCATTCTGTCAGTTATAAAATTGGACAGCTCCAGAAGTTGAAATTTCAAAGACATTTTCTCACCTATCAAATCCATAGTTTTAATCTTAGATGCCATTTTTGACTTTAATTCTTGGGGAATTTACAGCATACTGTGGCAAGGTGGCTTCAGATATACCAGCCAAACTAAAACAGCATTAAAGTTTTGTATCAAAGAACATAAATCTTGAAATTAGCAAGTCTTCGACAGCAAATCATACTTGGAAATTCAATTATAATTTTGACTTTGGGTCTGAAAACATTATGCAAAAAACTTCTTGCATTGGATTTTCTTGGAAGCTTTTCACATTCACAAAGATTTATCTTGTTTCGTTAATGACTTTAAGTCCAATCTAGTCCTTCCTAAAGCTTTTAAAATTCTATTAATTAAATAGAATTTAATTTTAAAAATCTTTTAAAATTTTAAAAAGCTTCTTCCATTGGTGAATTAGATTTTCTTGAAGCTTTTCATGTTCACAAAGATTTAGCTTGTTTTATTAATTATTTTAAGTCCAATCCAGTCCTTCCTAATACTTTTTTAAAATTCTATTAACTTAATTTTTTAGTTTTTGTTACTATTTCTGCTGAGAGATGGTGAGACTTTCTTGTTTGCTTCAATCCTATAATGCATGAATACAACCACTGCTTTCTAGTCTTACAGATTTCTTTGCTCCTGATGAAGAGGAACCTGTAGTTGTTTGTCCTCAAAATTAATTGAGTTTTTGATTAAACCTATGCCAAACACAAGGTTGTTGCTTTACTAATTTTATGTTTCACTTTGGCATGTTTCTCTTCTGATTTAAAATGGCAAACAAGAAACCTTTGAATAAGAAAGAAAAACTTTTGAAAATTACAAGGATGATAAAATAAAATTTGACAATTTAAATTTCATTAATTCAATAAATTTAATTCATAGCTTGAAAAACACTTTCCTTAGTTAAGGTTAAAAATTAAAACCCGGGAAATTCAATGAACTACCGAGAGATGTGACGAAAAACTGGAGGGTTGGCATGCATGTCATGTAAAATTAAATTGTATGCACGTGTGCAGATTAGGGAGATTCTGTTTCTCATCAAGTTGTTCAAGTTAAAACATTTCAATTCTCGCTTCTTGCCAAGGTACCCCATCAACCCCATGTTTTGTGTAATAAGCCAAAACACCCCATAAATAATCTTATTTCCCCTCAGAATTCATGACATGAATTTTAGATCATCCATACTTTCAAACAACAATTTATTAATTTTTTAAAAAAAGGTCTGGTGACTTTTGGTGCATCCTATATTTAACAACACAATTCTCATTATTCACAGTACAGTAAGAAATTCAGTAAAACTATGAGGTTAATATAAATTAAAACAATCAAAAGCAAAGGGGCAAACAGAAAAATAAATAATTACTTCAATTATTGACTGCAAAGTTGGTAAGATATTAGAGAGCTGTTCACGGAGTTTTTCAATTTTCTGAATATATTCCTCTTTGGTAACTTCAGCTTCTTTCAACTTCACAGCAAATCTATTTAAATAGAGAGCTAAATATTAGTTAAAGAGATCAATTAATTATAAATATTAATATACATAGCATATTTCACAAAAGCAGATTAATTTAATTTAAAAAAATGCTTAAACACACAGAACTAATTGAATTTTTATGACATAAATTTAAAAGTCAGAAATTGGTAATAACATTACTACACACAATAAATTAAGTGCATGATCATCAGAAGAAAAACTCTTCTTAACTCTTTCACAACCAAAATGTTAAAGATGGTTTTTCATTTAAACAACAAACGGCTGCAATTGCATGCTCTGTTTCTACCCTCCGTTAAATTTTGAAATTAGCCTAAGGTACAGTTTCCCCAAATGTACTGTAACAGTTCATCTGACAGTCTTTTTATGAGAGTTCTATGGCTCCTTACCTTTAGGTGGCTAATAGAAGCTCCTTTGTTAGGAAGTAGAAAAATTATCATTTGAAACTTTCACAATTTTTGACTAGTTAATGAACGGAAAGGAATAAGTAGTTGTAAGAACAATTAATTGATGACATTTGGCAATGAAATCTCTTTTTCTTTCTTTTTAATCTTCTGGTGAGCATTTCTTAATTACATTCAAAACGGCATCAAATGGATTGTTATTCCCTGCCTCCATATAAATTCGAATAAACAATAAAGAACGACAAGCTGAACTACATTGCTGCTTATTCCTCAATTCTGCTTATCCCCTCTTTCCCATTATTTTACATGGAATACCTTCTTGAGATCAAAGTAGACTTGAAAAGAAATAAAAATTTTACCTTTGTAGAGAAATCCTCAGAAGAACTTTTAGGTTTGTCAAATGCTTGTAAAGCTCCATCTACATGATGAGACATATCTCCAAACAAGTAGTATCTCTGCAAGTGCGTTTACTGCGCCACTCTGTCTACGCAGGGAAACATATCTCTCGCACATCAGATACATATCTGAGGCTTTTGTACAGGAGTTAAAAAGCTTTGAGCATTATTATGTTTGTTGTGAGATCAGTGGAGGTATTCTATTAATTCTATTCATGTTAACTGCTTTGACCGCTCTGTTTGGCTTAGTAGCTTGGAATTTGGATACAAAATCTCCCTCTGTAGATGAAATGCTGTCAAGACAGATGTATCTGAGGGAGACTTGTTTGGAAATATCTATCTCTTCTTGTAGATAGGACTTAAGAATCAGTCAGTGTTGGTATTTTTTGTAATATTCAAGCCTTGCCCCCAATAAAAATGCTAAATATGAAATGCAATCAGATATCTAAGTACAATAAAAGCCTAACTATCCAGTATTCGATTAACCGAACTATTTTTAATAACTTCCCTCATCCCGAAAAAGCAAGCACCATACAGAATGATGTAGTGCCAATATGATTTTTTTGTAAACCTGTTTTGTTTTCAATGAGCTGGTTTAGTTTTGTAAAGAATATAAATTTAAATATTTATCTCTTCTTGTCCTAGAGTTTTAAAAATATTATTAAAATTTGGGACCTTCTTTCTATGGAACAACATGCAGTGAGGTATTTTCAAAAATATGCTAGCAAGAAAAATGTGTATACATGGCTTCATTTGAAAATGGATACACAATGGCAATACAATATAAAAACATATGACAAGTGTTTTAAGTCTTTTATATGCTAGATTCATAACTAGTCTCTGTTGCTTATCTAACTAAATAAAGGTTATATATTAAAGGTCTACAAACATACATTGGCTTTTATGAAGAAAATGCACTCTTTTCCAAAATCTTACACAATCTTTTAAATGTCGGCTTTTGATAGTCAGGCTGATTTAAAAATAAGATGACTTTTCCTAATTTTAGACTGAAAATTCCTTCTATTCATTTGGCTTCTCTACTGTGATCGTTTTTTAATATGTTCAACTATCTGGACAGGTCAGCTTTTATTATATTTATGATATTAGAAAATTTTTACATAAAGACTTACACTTCATGCCATATTTGATAAAACAGATTCCGAAATTTAATAAGTAATGGAAAATTATGAGGCATTAAAGAATAAATTATTTTTATAGTGCTTTCTGATGGTTCACAACTTCCTGAAAAGTATTCAACAGGCAACATACTATGTCCACAAAATGTATTTACATTGTAACTCAGGTATGCACACACACAAAGCACACAAGCACAAATTTTCACCTTCGAATTTTTAAAAAATGAAATTTTATATATATATGCAATGACAAATACTAATTTTTCTAATTAGCATTTGTTTTTGCATTCAGTACATATTTTTCCCTTGTAAGAAATCATAATGGGATTGTAGAGTTTGGCAGCTGATGAAAAAGAAAGTGTTGAATTTCTTTAGAAATATTGCATTTGGTCCAACAGTAAAAAATGAAAAAATTTGCATTTAATGAAGTTATACTTCTTTAATGATCCAAAATTTGTGGAAGGTGCCAAATTTCTGTAATTCTTCTGTGTTTTTTGCGGCAAAACAGATTGCTGTATACACGAGAAAAGCGAAAAAAATTACATAAGGATTTCCTTGAGGGGGGGGCATGCTTTATTACAGATGTTTCTTCCTTTTTAAAATTTATTAATTCATTAGGATCTGTTCTTTAGGTCTTTTTTAGGGTCTGTTCAGATGGTGGTATAAATGCCACCGAGGCATAGTCATATGTCATAAAATGAGGGAGTTCCATTCACCCTGCAAGACAGGGTCTAAGCCGTGGGCAATTAGAGAAGCTAAATTTGTGTATGTGTGAATGTGTCTACAGCTTTCCCGCTCAATAGGTCTTGCATGCTTGATCTGACTGGTCCACTCTTAATGGTTGAAAGCTTCAAACTTTATGCCCAAATCCCTGAATTGGCTTTTGTAATGTAGCAAGGTCTGGTTATCTAGCAACGAAGCTCGGCTGAAACCATTTATGACATACCACTGTCTGAATGCAGCCTTATGGAATTCTTAGTGTACCACCACTTTCAAAATGGTTGTTGCTTTCTGCATATATATTAGGAGAAAAATTAGTTGGCAACATTTCAGGGGGGATGCAGATTATAAAAAAGTACTATTTTTATTAATGATAGAGCAATTATTCATTTGACAATTAACTATAACACAGACAAGAGCATGAAGTTATATCACAAGAATTCTAAATTTTAAACAATCTAAGAATATTAAAGAAGAAGGGGGAAAGCAGATACCTTTTCCTTTGCTCTAACTCCCAAGTTAGCCTTGCCATCGTTAATTCATGAGCATCATGTTTCGTGATTTCCTACAAAATTTATCAGACTTATTTTTTATGAACACATAACTGCATTGAAAATAATTACATTATTGTAATATTCAAAAGCATTTTATATCCTAGTAAAAATTACTGATACTTGGGTGTCAGCTGACATTCATCAATACACCATCAACAATTTATCGTCACCTTTTGACAAAATATTGTTCTGATGTCAGTATATCGATTAAACAGGTTTTTTAAAAGGGAAATAACACCCTTTCAATTTTCTTTAACATTTCCAAATTTACGGTAGAAAGTGCATTAGATAGTAATAAATACAAGGGAAAAAATATAACACCAAATGCATATTTGCAATCTCTACCTTAATTAGAATAAAAAATTTAAAAAAAAAAAAAATTACCATTTTTAAAACACGTTGACAAAAAATGAATTTGCGAGAAAAATCAAATTAAAGTTTTTCAATTGTAAAATTAATCCTTTTTTTAAAATAAAAAACTGTATTAACTTTTCTTCCTTCCTTCTCCCCCCATCTAAGATTCGAATTTGGATTATGCCGCTAATGGCAGACAGCAGAGAACATGATCATGCAGTTATCTTCGGAGGCGCTATAGTATAATGTTATGCAATCTTAACTGAGCTGTAAATATTATATTTGCAATTCTTTTTATGTTTAAATGAATATATTTTAAACATTCTTTTATTGAGTGTTTATTTTTACTTCCTTGTACGAAGTAAAAAGGAAGTATTGTAATCGCCAAAAGTTTGAGGTAGCATATTTCAACGAAAATATCCATTTTGACCGCTATCGAATGCAATTTAACGATGTTTTCGCGTGATATCTGTATGTAAGGACAGAATAAAAAACTCGTTTCCTCCAAAAAAATTATAAAACTGCTTTAAAATGAATTCTGAAGAGAATTTTTTATGGCATCTGTACGAATGTATGTATGTATCTCTCATAACTCAAAAACAAGTAGCCTCAGAAAGTTGAAATTTTGTATATAAGACTGCTATAACATGTAGATGTGCACCTCATACTTTGGTTGCAATCTGCCGCACCAAACATATATAAATGTATTTATATATATATATATATATCCACTCTGTTACCCGCCTCAGTGATCTCAGTTTCTTTACTCTTATATGTTTGAAAATTAAAAATGATTGAATTATGTTGTTCTTACCTTCTGGTTTAGTAAATCTGTATGCAATATTTTTAGAATTATCAACAATTTTAATGTTTTTTAAGTGCCGCTAAGCTCAATACTTTTTTTGATGGCAGCCATTGCTTGTTTAAATTTGAAACAGCAGAATAGTGGATTTGTTGAAAATCTAGAGAAACAGCTCCGCAGCAACAAAGATAACGCCTTCATTTATTATTGCGAATTAAATCAAGCTTAATCCTTTCTGGAATTTTTTCGAGGAAATAAGTGTTTAAGATTTACTTCGTAATTTTTAATACAGATATTTTGAGTTTTTATGTATTTTTGTCTTGTCGCGAAGTGAGAACTGAATTAATTGAATGAGAAATACTCAATCGTCTGTGAAAAACTGTCCTTTTTCTTTTCTTTTTTTTTTTTTTTTCCTTTTTTTTTTTTTTTTTTTTTTTTGCTTAATTTCTTTTATACATAGTTCTAACAATAATTCTTTAAATGATATAAATTTTTTGCATTGTGTGTTTTAATATGAACAAAATATAATACTGTTAAGTGAACCTAGCACCAGAGTGTCGCTATGGTAAACAAATAGAGTGAATTTTAAAGAATGCATTTATGATATTGTGGTTTATGCACTATCGGCGAAGTAGATTTAATTCAATCCAATAAGTTTAAATGGAATGCAAGAAAAAATGTGTATAATTTAATATTCCGTACAAGGAAGTCATGTGGTGTACACATCAGATTTTTTTTAAGGAAATGTATGTTCCTGTTATACTAGTTTAACAGTAGATCTGTTTAAATTTCACATGAAGTTTCATCAAACAGCTAAATCAAAGCGCACATAAAACACATGCATTTACCTTCAAAACAAGAAATCCTTTAATGTTTTAAATACTCAATACAACACCAGAAATATTTTGGAAAAAAAAAGGGGGCAGTGTAAAATTAATTTTTTAGAGAAAAGTGATGCATTTTCAGAGAATTTTGAAAATTTTGAGACAATTAAATGCTTACTATGAAAAAATTAAAAAGAAGACATTTTTAATTAATTACACAGCTAATTTTGCTTTTGCTAAGAGCTGTTTCGTAAATTACGCTTTATAATTTTAATATGTTACAATTATTTTAATGAAATTTATCAATGTTATGATGTTTTAATAAATCGCTGAAAAATTTTCAGATCTCGGAATTAAAATTGTTCTATAGAAACTGATCTTAAAATCGCCAAAATGTTGACAAGTCGCCAAATTTAGAACTGTTTAATAAAAGAATTCACATCCCCAAAAGCGAAAACTTGTTTAAGAGCTCTTTTAGAAAAAAATGAGTTTCGAAATGCTTATGTTTCACTTCTTGTTAAGAAACTCGAGTATCCCATCATTTATATTAGAAATAGAAACAAATTGTAATCCATGAACCCATTCAAAAGATAACCATATACGCCAGTGAATCGCCAAGAATACTCCTCCAAAATGCTAATTCACTCTCAAAATGGCAATTGTAAAAACAGACAGAAATTTCAGATGATTAAAATTAAGGACCTTCTGCTGATTTTGGCCAAAATTAAGGACTTTTAAGGACCAAAAATCGATTTAAAAAAATTTAAGTACTTTTAAGAACCGTACGACCTTGTAATTTCCATGGGTTTTCTTTGGGAGTTCGTTCAAAATTGTATTAGAGTGTTACTGTTTTCGGTTTCTACTCTCACATTAGTGCTATCATAGGAACGGAACGAATGAATTTACAGTTTTAACTCTATTAATAACACTGCATATATATACAGTCAAAAGTCGTTAATTCGGACACCCATAATCCAGAATGATCTATAATCTGGACCTCAAAGCTAAAAGCTTTCTGCGCATGCGCCCAGCCGTTTTACGCATGCGCGTAAGACCTTGACTACTGCGCATATGCGTGTGCGCAAGTGCAGAATACATTTTCGCCTGCGCGTTTAATGTATAACGGACGGTGTAAGCTAAAATTATCTATTTCAGTTAACGTTAATGATTGCGTTGTTCCTTAATCTTCGAATTGGATCCCGCTTATTATTTTTTGCAGACTGTAAGAGCAATTTTATAAAAGTAAACTTGAACTTTCGATTATGTCAAATAGAATTTCCGATGCTGGAACTTCCAAAGGATCTACAAAACGAAAGTATGTTTCGATGTCCAACAAACAAAAAGTAAAATTGCTGCAAAAAATGGATAAAGGCATGAAGAATGTGACAGAGAGGTTAGTGAAAACGAAAAAATTTCGATTGACAAGTCGGTATTCTCGGCACAGCAATTAACGGGACTTTGTAACTGAACATGAAATTATGTCTGTTTATAGAATTAAAGAGAAAGTATTATCACATAAAATGAAGCAACTTAAACAACTTACACTGAAAGAAATGTTTAATAAAGTAAACAAATAAATATTAAGCTTTTTTTTTTTTTTCTTGTAAATTTTGATACCCTTTAGATCATAATTGTTCTTTATTTCATAAATTATGGTTTCATATTTTTAATTTTAGAATTTCTGCATGCCATCTTACGAGATTTAAACTGATGATCTATAATCCGGAAAAATCGATAATCCGGAATCGCCGAAGTCCCGACGAGTCCGGATTAACGACTTTTGACTGTATGTGTGTGTGTGTCTCTTCTCTCTCTATATATAAGTGTGTGTGTATGTTCGTGTGTAATGTATCTTAAAATTCATCCTTATTCTTCCTTAACAATAAAACGGGGGAAAAAAGAAAAATCCAGAACAGTTTCTAGGGTTGCTCACATGAAAGCAAAGTCACAGGCTGCACTGCTATTTCTTCACATGTGTGTGTATCTAACTAATAAATGTTACAGAAGCATGTCAAAATTTGCAAAAGTTTTTGGTGGAGTAGCAGTTTTGGATAAAATGTGCAGGAGATGGTTTGAAATATTTGAAGCAAGTGATTTTGATCTTAATTATAAGCCGTGCTCTAGGCTTTAAGGGTTAACTCGACTCACAAAACTATTTCAGACCATATCTAGAAACTAATATTGCTCTATAAATATTCCAATAGATGAGTTAAATGAGAAAACTTTGCATGACTGAGTCACCACATGCACAAATCTGCTTGCTCAGAATAAAAACGAAACGTTCTTGGACCAAATGATAACTGGTGATAAAAAGCTAAATAAAAGTGGATTGCTTACAAAAACATCATTAGGAAAAGAGCATACAATGAATCTGGAAAACCTGCCCTTCCACCTCTCAACTGAGCTTCAGCCCAAATAAGATAATGCTGTATATATGGTGAGATGTTCAAGGACCAACACTTTACAAGCTTTTGAAACCTAACGAAAAGGTCAATTCAGAAAGATACTATCTGCAAATGGATGATCTAAACAAAGCAGTCAAAGAAAAGAGGCCGGCAATGTTCACTATGAAGCACATAAGACTGCATCATAATAATGCCAGACCATGTGCTATTCTGGTAACTTGTCAGAAAAAGCACACAGCTAGGGTAAAAAATTCTGCTGCACCATACTCCCCAGACCTAGCAACCTCTGATTTTCTTTTGCTTCTCTTTTAGCACAATTTTTTGAAAGGAAAAATATTCAAAACCAAAGCAGGCATTGGCCAAGGAGTACTTGAGTTTTTCTCCTATGACATTTTCCAAAAAAAGCATTTACAAATTACCAACATGCTGGCAAGAGGTCAAATAACAACATAAGTTATATTATACAGTAAATATTATTAAAGATAAGAGAAATGTATTAGTTTCTATTAATTCCTAAACGGACAGAATTTTTCAGTAGAACAAATGTATTTTATACAAATCAATTGCATATAAATGTTATGTATGCTTATGCCCTTTTAAACTCATTTCATGTTAAAAAAAAAAAAACTAATTATCAAACATATCAAGAATAAGATTGGTCATTAACTTACAACAGGACGTCTGTGACGGCATTAATGTAAAGCAAGGACTATATATATATATATATATTTAAATTACGATTCTGCATTCTAATCATGTTATTACAAAAATCTATGATTTTTAAAAAGACAGTTTTCAAAGTTATTCAGATTTAAAGCTTCCAAACTTAAAACAAAAATATGAATTTCCTATTAAGAAAATGTGAAGTTACATCAAATGAAAGTTGTTAAATGATTTTTGTTTGCTAATAAACATAAATTATTTAAAGCTGATCTGTTCCAAAAGGAACACTTTTGTAGAAAACTTTCTAGTTTTGCAAAGGATTCGGTAACTTTCCAGCTGTATGTTACACATGGGGAAAACAACAAAAGCACCCTGTATCCAACTGCCAGGAACAGTATCCAAAGAAAGAACCATCAGCATCTTTATGGTTTTAGCTATATGTCCCCTTATATTGGTCAATATAAATACTACATAAAAATGTCTCAGAAGTTAAGGCATCACTTACTTTAGTAACCAGTAAAAGAAGTTATACAATTTAAACAAGTGAAGAATTGTTAAGCATTAACTCGATCAAATTTTAAATGAATAAAATAACATATAAAAATTCAAAATTATTAAAACAGCAGAAATGAGTTAGTTTTTGTTTAAAAATATTTTCTAAATGCAGAACACCTAACATGCTTTATTTGAAAGAAGAATTTCTTTACAGACAAATAACTCAGATTATAAAAATTCATTTAAATATTGCAAGCACAAAAACTCAACAAACAGCTCTCACTGATGAATATCTATTATAAATATATTACAAAGAAAGCTGAAAAATTTGGTTCACGATTTTTCAGCTATTCTTCAGGTGCATAATTGTATATAAAAATTATTCTTTCCTTTTATATCTGAAAAGTGGTTATTAAGTTGAATTCAGATGGAAACAAATAAAATTTTATTTTATTTTTTCCAATTTTATTTTTATTCACCTTTTTTTCATAAGGAAGGACATTAAATTGAATTTTTTTTTCCAAATACAAACAGATATAAAATTCAAGTATCTTTCAAAACTTTTAAAAAATGTGAAGACTAACAAAAGCTAAATTAAGAGATATTCATAACATTTTTAATTTTTACTGTTTTGCAATTCTAATTCAGTATTTCCTTTACATACGCTTTAAAAACTAAAACTTTATATGATAAAAGAAAAATTTTTAAAACAGGAAATAAATCTAGTATTTAAAATATTATTCAGTAGAAACTTTAAAAAAATGTAACTTACAGGCCTGGAAATACTTTCTGGAGCATCTCGGTAAAATTCTTCAACAGTTACAAGCTCAATTTCTTCATCTTTTGACCTATATATATATTTTATATATATATATATATATATATACATACCATACCATATATAAACAAGCTTAACTACTTTAATTATTTCAGGTTAAAAATAGTGTAAATACAGCACTAATAAGCTATACATAAAACAGTATTATTTATAAACACAAAACTCAATATAAAACGTAATTGAACTTCTGGTTAATGGACACAACAAATAATTTTTATTGTGAAATAGTAGACAGGTTTGGTGCAGGTCTGCAGGTTCTTTTCGTTGTTTACAATGTAGAGTGCATCAGTCTAAGCAGTCAAGTCCACATTTCAAGTCTTTCAGTATCAGCCAAGCAGACAATAAGATCGACTTTCAAAACAGGGACACTCAGATACACTACTCCACATTCAAAATGCAACACCAGGGAGGGCAGAAAATTATGCAAATTTCAGGGTAGGTGCACGTCATTGAGCTATGCGAATGATGTGAAACGTGCAGCTCTCCAGTGCACGTTGACGCAGATATAATGGAAGGAACCTGCAGAATATTAAAATTTTGTGTCATTATTTCTGCTACGGAAATCATCGTAGAAAATTTATTCTTGTCTCAGAGGACATGTGTCAGAATCCCAGGTCATTGTCAATGTCGGCAGCTCTAGTAAACAGACAATTTTACAAGGGGCATAGTGATCAGACTGAGAAGAGTAGGTTGGCCCATATACCAAATATCAGCTGACACACACCTGGACCTGTGGCTGTGGTGATGAAGTTTGGAACAATGAAATGTCTTAAGTTTGAGGGTTGCCGGTGCAACCAGAGTGACATAAGCATGCATGGATCGATGCATCTGCTGACAAGAGGTGGCGCACACGCAAGCCACTTCTACCTACATTCTGCAGCATATTCAAGACACCCTGGATGTTCCCATATCAGCCAGAACAATTTCCCATCGATTGGCGGCTAGTGGCCTGCACTTGCGGCATCTGTAAAGAAAGAAGACTGCCATTGACCCCACATCATTAATGCAAATGTTTCCAATAGTGCCGAGCTCAAGTGGTGTGGACGACGGAATGGCACCGGGTCACGTTCTCAGATGAGTCATACTTCTATTTCCCCAATGATAGTCTCCATGAACGAATGTGGTGTTGATGTGAAAAGAGGCCCACTCCGGCAGAAACTGTGGAATGCCCACTGTGCAACAACACGGCATGGTGATTTGGGGCACAATTGCATACGATTCAAGGTCACTTCTATTTCATATTCAGGGCCGTCGGGCTCAAGCAATGTGGACGAGGGAATGTCATCAGGTCGTATTCTCAGATGAGTATTACTTCTGTTTCTCCAATGATAGTCTCCGTGTACAAGTGTGGCATCAATGTGGAAACAGGTCCGATTCGGCAGCAACCGTGAAACACAAGCTGCGCAACAACAGGGCATCATGGTTTGGGGTGTAATTGCATACAATTCAAAGTCACTTTTAGTTCCTATTCAGGGCACTATGACAGCCTAACGATACGTGGATGATGTGGTGCAGCCAGTGACACCTCTCTACCTTCAGGGAGTGCCCAGTTGCCTTTCAACAGCAGGATAATGCTGACATCACACTACTCGCATCAGCCAATGTGCTCTGCGAGGTGTACAAATGCTTCCCTCGCCACCATTCTCTCCTGATCTCTCACCAATTAAACACATTTGGGATGTGATTGGATGCCATTTGCTGACCTTGCCATTGCTGCATTCAGAAGATGAAATATGGCAAATGACTGAGAAGGAATAGAAAGTTATTCCTCAGGACACCATCCATAGTCTCAGTGACTCTGTACCTAGACATGTTGCTTTGTGTATCATCATCCAAGGTGGCCCTACAACCTATGAGCTGATGTGGTTCTTGCTCTGTATTATGCACACCATTTCGAAATAAAGATAATTTATTGTTCATTTGTGTCTCTCTTTGTTTGCCGAGTTTCATCACTTTCTGACCATTTCTCCTTGGTGTTGCATTTTCAATGTCAGGTAGTGTATAAAGACTGGAAAAGTGACATCAAGATAAAAATTATAGTTGGACATGAATATGATCATCTTTTCTCAGCTGTATCCCAACCTTTTGAAATTTTGACAATGTAATGTATCATTCTCAATGACATTTCTCAAACTTTCTAATGGTTTGCTGGCATTTTAATTTTGAACGCTAAATTGCATTTTATATGTGCCATTTCTATTCATTAACCACTAAACTGTTTTGCTCGAACGACGTTTGGGTGCCGCGAAAAGGGACTTTTTTATTTGCGCGTAGACAACTCGTGCAGTGTATTTTCCTACACCAATCCACTGAGTTTTCCTGGCTTTTTCCCCACTTTTTACTTAGCAGTGTTTCTAATAGATGTCAGTGTCCAGGAGAGAATGGATTGTAAAATCAGTTCAAGGATAGGTTCACCACTTTTCATTAGGGGAAGAAATTCAGCAAGTTTGTTTGCATGTGTTCAGTGTATTAAGCTTTGTGAATAGTATTACTTCCCAATTTTATCCTGAAATAAAGAAGGATGGGTGACAGTGAATGGTTCATAACAAATATAATTCTGATATTGGATAAGATAGCGAATCTGAATTTTCTACAAATGATTCTGGTAGTCCTGAAAGTTCTTTATCAGAATTCTCTTGTGATGATGAGGAAATGGAAAATTCAGATTATCTCGTTCAGGTCTGGAGCTTTTAAGAAATGGATACTAGTAATCCTCCTCCACCACTGCCGCAATTATTTTTCAGAGAATTCACTTCTTTCACATTTATCACCTGTAAAGTGTTCTTTCCAGTTCTGCAGTTTTGTGAGAAAAAGCCAACTTTAAGTAAAAATGCCTTAATTTTGCAGTAATTAAAAATTATCTTAAATTAATAAATGCAACACTTGTAACAGTTTTGACAGCTGATTTGAATTCATATAATCAATTAGAATACAAAATTGTTTAAAAAGAATATCCTTATTTTTGATCACAATATGGTAGGAAAATGAAACAGTTAAATGGTTAAATACTGCTATAGTTTGTTGGATTGCAAATATGTAGAAATTACATGAAAGCTGGCAGATTACTAATCTCCCATGAAAATAACTTAAAAAAATTTCCATCACATCTTAAATAATAATACAGCCTCGTTTTAGAGCAAGTAAATTTAGAACTTGACAAAAGGCATCCTTGCACTTTTTTTATTATCATTTTTGAATTAAAAAACGAATCACCACAGAAATCACTCTTAATAACTTTTAAGAACAATACAAACCCTGATTCCTAAACTGGAATGGTACTTATGAGTTATTACATGCATCTTAGTTGAAGACAACTTTTCAGAATATGTCAAACTCTGACAACCATGCACATAGCCATTCTTCAGGCAACCATGCTCATCCTCTAAGAATTGTTATGAGCATGTCAAGTAACATAACGATTTTTGGATGCATTCTTTATGGTGTATTCTATGTTCCAGTGCTTTTTATAAGCAAATTGTGATATTTTTGGCCTTAAACATAATTTTAAATTAAGCAGTTGTGGAAGTTGCCAACAATGGAAGAAATTTCGGTAAAATTTCTATAGGAATACAGAATTTTGCTACAAAATCTCTAACGGGAATGTTAATGAGATGTGTTTGGTAGACAGCTGAAGTTTCTGAGGTTTGTGCGATGCCAAGTCTGCAATACTCTAACATTCCTTTTAAGCAAAAATGAAACACCATGGACTTGCAAAAAAGAATGTAAATGTTTTATTTTTTAAATATATCTAATCTAATAATTAAAATTTGTACTTTAAATTGCTAAAGTATATTGATAATGTTTGAAAACTTATGATAAATATTGATAAATTGGGAATCTTTTAAAAAAGTCACAAAAGCTCCTAATAAGTAACTTTTACATTTTCTTGTACAAAAAATCACCAAACTACACCAAGGTGGTTGTGTCAATACATAAGTACTGCTGGAGTTTTGATTATATATCTTTCACATTTATACTTACTTTTTTACGAGGTTAGTTTTTTAGCAGTTAGAAAGACAAAAATGGTGCTTTTCTGCGAGACAATGACAAAAAAACATGAATATGCTAATACGTCCATGCATATTATTTTCATTCATAGTGTTACGAAATGTAAAGGCGCGGTAAGATGGCTTCCCCGCAAAGCAGTTTTAGGGTTGCCAGAAAATGGCAAGAGAAGGAAAGGTTGCCATATTTGGCGAGAAATCGTCCATTTGGCAACAAAATCGGCGATGTGCAGTAGACGGATGGAGAACCTTCTGGAATGAATTCTTACTGGTTTGGCCCACAATGTTCTCGAACACAAGCCAAAACCTATATAAACCCTGCTGGTATGCGGAGTTAGTGAGAGTCCATCGAGTTAATAGTCAGTCAGTGAGCGAGTGTCTTGAAGTCTAGTGCCGAGTTGGTTGTCGAGTGCACCAAAAGTTTCTTAATGTATCACGAGTTAGTGCATTGGCGAATTTGAGCTTAGAGAGTGTTGAGCTCCGGGAACGAGTGAACCGAGGAGTCGGGAGCTGTACTCTAGTGTACCGTCGAGAGCATCGCAAGTTGTAACGTGGAGAGTCTCAAGAGTACATGGAGTTCCGAGAACGACTGAGCAGAGTCGGGAGCTGTACTCTGGTGCTTTGCAGTGAGGCTGTTTCCACAGTTATTGCCTGACAGTGTGAAGGCTGCGTCGCTGATTGTTCCAGCGTGTTTATAGTAGATCTACGATGCATGTAAAAAATGTTATTAGAGGCTGTCCTGATTAATATCGGCCAATAAAGTGTGTTTCGATACTTCATCAAGTGTTACTCCAAATCCACACGAACCCTGTACGAACGTGAAGGAAGGAAATAAAGCAACAACTGGTGTCAGAAGAATAGGAAGAGAAAAAAACGTAACAATACATTTTAACAACTTTTACCTAAACATTATGTATATGTATAGCATTGGAGAGGGGACCTATTAAACACATTAATTCTAAAAAAAATTCCAAACGCTATAGTAAGAAACCCGACTTTAGCATAAAAAATAAATCACAGATGTGAAAAAATATCCTACTAATAAAGAATACTTCTTTAACTTTACAAAAAAGCATTTGTAAGCACAACATTATCTACATAATACTTATGGACTTACTAACTAGAATTACAAGGTATAACTAAGTTTTTATTATTTAGTTTTAAATAATTAAATTTATCTTCGGGAGACAAGTATTTAAGAATCTGATAAAGAATAACAATGTAAATTTTCAAAATTTATAACATCTGCTAATAACACATCAAAGTCCTAACAGATCATCAGCTAAAAATATGACGATTCCACACCAAAATTGAGAAATTTACCTGAATTCTAAGCATTTTGTTACTTCCTTTTGGAGATGAGTAACTTCATACAGAAGATTCTGAAACTGTAAGTTTAGAGCATCTACTTTTTGCTTTCGCTAAAATGCAATAAATAAAATAAAAAAGGTGTTATATTTCTTAGCATTACAGAAACAGGTATCTCATAACTAAAAATAATAATACATTAAAGTCAACAGTTGAAATTAGTTAAAAAATATTACTTTCTAATATATACAATACATAGTCACTTACTTTAAATATAAACTGATAAAAAAAATGACATTGCAATGGTTAATTAAAAATACAAGCACAGAAAGTTTAATATTGATGTCAACATGAAATTTTATTCCAAACTTAGAATCTGTAATTGTAACACATAATACAAAGCCAGGCAAACCAAATTACTCAACTTTGCTTTATATTACTTTGTAAAACAATTTTAAACTTTAAGATATAATGTGATTTAACTACATAAAACTATATCAAAATACCTCATTTACTGCATCTCGAGATTTCTTCCACTGGTGTTTGTCTAAACGATTCAACTTTTTCAATCGCATTATTAACATGCAAATATCTGCTCTATGTTTTGCAATGCTATGCTAAAATAAATAAAAAAAAATTATAAATAAATAACACAAACAACACTGTACTAAATTTTAAATATCAGTATATGAAAATATTTTAAGAGAAATGAACTTTGAAGTAGTAAATAATTTACAATTAGAATATTACAGTTTTAGTTTGTATATTAAATCAAAGAAAGAAGAATTCAAATGCATGTAGAAGCTAAATTTTATATGCATGGTAGAGAATCAACATAATTTGAAATTAATAATTAAGCAAATTTCCATTTATATAGAAAAACCCATACATTTTTGGGGAGATTTCTTCTTTTTAAGATGCAAAAGTATTTTCTAGAAATAATTCTAGGGCAAAAACTTTTACTGTCTGAAGAATAGATACAGTCAAAAGTCATTAATTCGGACACCCATAATCCGGACCTCAAAGCTAAAAACTTTCTGCGCATGCGCCACGTTGGCACATGTGCACAGGCGTTTTACGCGTGCGCGTAAGACCTTGACTACTGCGCATATGCGTGTGCGCAAGTGCAGAATACGTTTTCGCCTGCGCGTTTAATGTCTAACGGACGGTGTAAGCTAAAATTATCTAATTATCTATTTCAGTTAATGTTAATGATTGCATTGTTCCTTAATTTTCGAATTGGATCCCGCTTATTATTTTTTTGCAGACTGTAAGAGCAATTTTATAAAAGTAAACTTGAACTTTCGATTATGTCAAATAGAATTTCCGATGCTGGAACTTCCAAAGGATCTACAAAACAAAAGTATGTTTCGATGTCCAACAAACAAAAAGTGGAATTGCTGCAAAAAATGGATAAAGACATGAAGAATGTGACAGAGAGGTTAGTGAAAACGAAAAAATTTCGATTGACAAGTTAGTCGGTATTCTCGGCACAGCAATTAACGGGACTTGAACAGCGGAACTTTGTAACTGAACAAGAAATTATGTCTGTTTATAGAATTAAAGAGAAAATATTATCACATAAAACGAAGCAACTTAAACAACTTACATTGAAAGAAATGTTTAATAAAGTAAACAAATAAATATTAAGCTTTTTTTTGTAAATTTTGATACCCTTTAGATCATAATTGTTTTTTATTTCATAAATTACGGTTTCATATTTTTAATTTTATAATTTCTGCATGCCATCTTACGAGATTTAAACTGATGATCTATAATCCGGAATCGCCGAAGTCCCGACGAGTCCGGATTAACGACTTTTCACTGTACTCACACATCAGTCACTTTCAAAATGAATAGCCTTTTTTAATAAAACTAACACCAGTTTAAAGTTAGATTTTGCGCAGTTTAAATTTAAGTTTTTGGTACTTTAAATATTATCACAAACACTTCAGCACAACTAGACAATAAAAATAAATAAATAAATAAATAAATAAAATAAATAAATAAAAATTAAAAACTAATGACTCATGATTGCAAAAAATATTTATTACATACTTTATATTTTAATTAGGTAGTTAATGTGAAAATCAATCTTTAAAACTATTTAAAAGCATGTAGGGTTTATATTTATTTTAACTAACATTTATTTTAAGTTTAAACTATCTTTCCTGTCAAGCCTTACTTTCCCCTGGAACTGCCAATGCCAGAATATGTAAATTTGAGTAGAACGCGCAAGCATTCAAATTATCAGCAGAAGTAGTATGATTTAAATAGAAGGAAACGAGTTCGGTGAGAGAGTTATTCTTACTTAGCGAGCGCGGAGGAGGTAGTTATCGAGAATTGAAGAACCCCGCGTTGCGGCCTATGTGCTTGGCGGGAAGTAGTTGCAATTGTTCCAGTGAGCTTCAAGTCTGCTGAATTAGCTGCGGCTTTTGTAAAATGCGGTGAGTTAGTTATTTTAGAGAGCCTCGTAGTTAGAATATTGTCTTTACTTTCTTTTCAGGTTCTTATTTTTATTTGACTGCCTAGTGGGCACAGTCTGTAAGCGTCAAGAGGACGCCATTGTAATTTATTACGTTGAATAAAAAGGGACTTAAACCCTTTATAAGACTCTGTGGTTTATACAAGCTTTCACAGTCACCTCTTGGTTGTGTGCTAGTTAGAGGCGCGCAACGTTATATTGGCGCCCGAACACTTATCGAACTGAAATGGCCGAAAACTGGATGGAAGCCGCTGGACAACACCAAGAAATGACAACGCAGTTAAAAGGATTTGGATACCTGGTCCAGACTTTGAGAGCATCAATCAAGCCAAATGTCTATTTCGACGGAAAAAATTCGGTGTCTGTATTTTTAGAAGGTATAGAAAACCACTTTCAGCTCTACCCTGTACCTGAAAGACAAAAAGTTGCCATCGCCACATCAGCTCTAAGAGGACAGGCCGCGCTATGGTGGAAAAATATAGGCAAATTTCTTCTAGGTGAATTTGGAAGCCCGACGTATACATTTGAAAATTTCAAAAAATCGTTAGTAAAGGCCTTCCCCATGGTGAAAGATCGCGCACGGCTGGAAGCCGAGCTATATAGTTTCTATCAACGGGATACAGCACAATTGACGGACTTTATTTTACGAAAAATCAACTAACGGATATGTTGTATGGGAAAAAACCCGATGCGGAGATAATTGAAATAATATTACCAAGATTGTTACCCGCTGTCCAAGACTACTTTGAAATTAGAAACCCAACCACATTGCAGGAACTTTTCGAATTCGCGGTGAAATTTCAAAATCGCAGAATAGCGGAAAGAGCGAGAGGGGAAACATATTCTCAAAGTACCAGAAGGAAGGAGGAAACAGAAATGGAAATCGCTCATATGGGGGAAAGAACTATCAAGCTAACGCATCGAAACTCGAAGGTCAAGGCCCAAAAAAGAAAATTTGAAAATAAGCATCCACGTACCCAGAAGACACAGATTGAAAGGAAAGCTTTAAACGACTAGAGGGGCCTGTGAAAGGGAGGGTCCAGACCCCGGAAGTTTTAGAAAAACCCTCAAATAGACATCTAAATACAGTCATCGTAAAAAACTCACAGCTACCAATTATACAAGTCCTGGTTGGCGATGTACCAGTAGAAGCCCTCATCGATACAGGGGCAGAAGGGAAATTTTCATGAGTGAAAAGTTCTTCAAAAAGAATTTTTTTAGGATACGACTCTTTAAAACCAGAAATACGGAAATTATAGCGGCACAAGGAAAACATGTCACTGCATCGGGAAAGTATCATTAAACTTACAGATAAAAGAGGAAAATCTCAAAGTATTAATTTTTGTGGTGAAAGACCTCCCAACACTCTCTTATTTTAGGTATGGACTTTTTAAGGGCCGCGAGGGCCAAATTAAATTTTCAAGATAGTTCCGTGGTGCTGGAGATGGAACCAGAGGGTGGTGGAACCTGCGGAGACACCTGAATTGACCTTAGCCATCTGAATGACCAGGAAAGTAAAGCAATACAGCAAGTGGTGAGTAATTTTTCTCATTTGTTTTCAGAAAAACCGGGAAACTGTCAGATCGTGACTCACAAGATTCAATTAAATGTCGAAAAACCTTGTAGGACTAAACCGTATCGCTATGATAAACAAAAAGACTTAATCATCGAAGAACATATTCAGGAGATGTTAAAGAATAAAATAATAACGCCCATAAATAGTGAATACGCGAATCCAGTCGTACTATGTAGGAAAAAGAACGAGTTTCCTCCTTCGGATAAAAGGGCTTGGAGGTTTGCTATCGATTACAGAAAACTAAATAGCATTAACTAAATTCCCAGTTTTACCCTTTGCCGGTTATAGACGAAGATTCATTAGAACAGATTCAAATCGACGAGATATATAATGTCTACTTTGGACTTAACGTCTGGCTACTATTCAAATAGCTATGAAGACCCGAAGATATACATAAAACCGCGTTTATAACAAAATCGGGCACTTATTGCATTTTTACGCATGCCCTTTTGGGTTGTGTGGGGCCCCGTCAACATTCCAGAGAGCTATGGACATTGTTCTAAAGCCTGTCCTAGGAAAATCAACCTTAATTTATCTAGATGATATAATTATAACGAGTAGTACGTTGGAACAACACATTAATGACCTCGAACAAGTTTTTAAATTATTAAAAGAGGCCGGTCTTACAATTAACGCCTCAAAATGCAAGTTCGCAACTAAAGAACTTAAATATCTCGGTTATAAAATTTCGCAAAAGGGTATAGAAACGCAAGATTCAAAAATAAAAGCTATTAAGAATTTCCCACCGCCCAACACCGCCAAGAAACTTTCGTCTTTCCTTGGACTATGTTCTTACTATCGATCTTTCATAAAAGATTTCGCTAATATTGTTGAACCACTCTTAGTAATCAAAAGAAAAAAGAGTAAATTTACGTGGACAGCTGAAGCTAACACAGCTTTTGAAAGATTAAAAGAAGCGCTTATTAATGCCCCTGTTTTAAAATTCCCTGAGGGGGATGAAAACCTGGAAATTGCGGCAGATGCATCAGACTATGCGGTGGGTGCGGTTCTTATGCAAAATAACCATCCGCTGGCATTTTTTAGTAAAACATTGAATCAAACACAAAGGAATTATACAGCTACAGAAAGAGAAACATTAGCCGTATTAATGGCTGTACACAAATTTCGAGTTTATTTCGGCAAATCGCCAGTAACAGTCTTTTCGGATCATGCGGCTGTTGGTAGACTTTACTCGGGAAAAAACCTAACGCCCAGGTTAATAAGATGGGCTTTAAAACTCCAAGATATAATATCACAATAAAATATAAACCGGGTAAGGAAAACAATGTAGCTGACGCACTTTCTCGTATAAAAGCTGGACGATGAAGGGAATGAACTTAAATGCGCTGTGTTGACTTCAAAAATTTTAGATTCTAGAGATACGGTTATTCACTGAACTGAAAGCTGATCCTGAATTTGGAAATATCTATGCTTATTTGAAAGACCCCGAAAGCTTTGAGCATACAGATATCGATGCGATAAGAAATAGAGCAAAAAACTATGAAATAATAGATAATTTATTATTCTATACGAAAACAACAAACGAAAATCTTGAG